GAACCATTCTCAACCCATTCAGCAACACCCTTCTCAAACAACTGCATAACTTCTGCTTCCTTCACCTTACTTGTTGACTCAACTACACCGCTCGTCTTACCTTTACTCTTGTTTTTCCTGACTCTCAATGTTTGACTTTTATCAGTAACGACACTCTCTCTGACGGCACTTTTCGGGTTACTTCTCTTCATCGCTGTATCTATACCAATTTCCTTTTCCCACTCAGCAACTACGTTACATCTGATTCGCCAAATTTTATCGAGAAAACTACTTTCTACAAGTGCTGTATAACTGCCAAGTGCCAGGTTTATAGTCTTCTTAGGTAGCTCCAAATCTAACAATTCTGCCACTATATCGTTGGGTATAAGCCCTCTTATGTAGTCTCTTCTCTGCTTGAACCTCTTCTCAGTTGTAGCACCGCCAATTACCAGACCAAACCTCTCAACAGATATTGTCTGCTTATATGCACGGTCTAACTTCTTCAATGCGAGTAAGCATGCAACCTCCTCTACAGTACTCCAGTAATTGGTATACCCGTATACTCTACTAAATGGTCAGAATCTTCTTTTGCATACTTACAACTTATGCATGTATCGTCTATGTATACTTCAGGTTTTCTTCTCCTCAGTACTGTCAGAACTAGTAAACTGTCATTGATATACTTAATTTGGAAGGCTATCTTCCTGCTAGCTATGCATGACTTGCATCTAATTCTAGTTGCTTTCTTATTCTGTCGCCATAGCACCTTCTAGCTACGATTTGAGTCTGCTTCATTCTCATATAACCTGATAGCATTTGAGTTGTGCTACTCTGCACCAGTTTTGAAACTCATCAACATCTTGATCAGTTTTCTTGTTGTAACTTCCACTGATGTCTCGTTGAGATAAACTGAAGATCTTTTGTGACGATTTTTCTCCAAGGGTAATATTGAGTACCAATTTAAGCGAGCACCTTCTTTAGCCAATTGATCTGCTCTTTCATTCCATTTTACCTTGTTATGTGCTTTCACTTTAACCAACTGAAG